TTTCGGCTCTCCGCTTCTGCTCCAGCTTGAGATGGCTCAAGAATTTCTCGTCAAGCTGGCGACTGCTTTTCTTAGCGGAAACCGGGGAATTGGCAATGAGGAGCCTGCATGAGGAGGTTCTGAAGAAAGCGCTACCACCGTTACTCGGCAGCGACTCGCCGTGTCTCTGGAGAAATTTGGATCCATCGGAGGCGTCTATAAATGTGACCCAAGCAATATTCTTTCCTCGGGCCTTGGAGCAGTAATACTCAGAGATGCCCAAGGCCTCTAAATGCGGCTTCAGCTCCTTCTTGAGTTGGTCTTCATTGATGGGTGGCAGTTTTGTTAGGAAGACTTCCATCCTGAAAGTCGAGAGTCTTAGAACAAATCTGCAAATCAATTCTGGTGTACAAGTTTGGGATATGTAGAATGTCCTTGGATCAGTAATGAAAGATCAGTTCGACTTATCATGATGGACGAGTGTCGATCGGAACTTGAGATAGCAGAAGAAGGAAGGTGCATGAATTGAGTTCCAGGTCCCGATGTCAATGACCTGTTGGGCTCAGCGCCTGTACCACCAATACTACCTAAGTACCCTATACCTCGTACGGTTCCAGAGGTCTCTTGGCTCAACGTGTAAGAATTAAATACTAACGGGCACAATGAGTACAATCAATTTAGCTGTGTTTAAGTCTTTTGACTTTTTCATTCAACTGAAAATTGAGGGCGATCTGAAAAAGAGATAGAATTCTTTTCAAAGAGCGTTCTTCCACCACAAGCTGATGAGGCTTCCGGGCGACCAATTTGATACGTCGAGCGAAATGGTGGGTTTCACGGATGCAACCTGCCTGCAATTAGCGGACGTGTAACGGACGATCGCTTAAAGGTATGCGTTGGCAGCTCAATGCTACGCGTGACCTCTTTTCCAGGGTTATGGAAAACAAAGTGGTGAGAGGAAGCTCAGACATGATCTGACGTTACCGTCCTAACTTTTCTGCCTTCAGGTACCTGAGTAGGGATGTATGGAATGAAGACATGATCGACTAGTATAGTGAACCTTTTTTAATCAATTTAAAAATATATGTGATTTAAAAATGTAAGATAATCTATTCGATTAGGGTTATTCTTTGGTTTATAGGGGCAAGGAGAGATGCGCAAAGTCTCTTTTTCATCGTATCGTATCCAGTTCAATTTCATTCTATCGCTATTCATGCAATCAAAGGAGCTTCCCAACAGTCTTGAGATGAGCAGAGGCAGGGGCACAAGAAAGACAGCCAAGAGAGTAAGAGTCAAAGCCTCAGTTCTGGGTTAAAATCGTGATAGCGTCCTTGACCAAATACAAATGGGATATCTGTTTGCATATTGTCTGCGTGCCCACTGTGCCGCAAGTCTTCCATCCGCCCATGAGCTGTAGGTGGAAATCGCCTGGGTAAACTGACCGGTCGCTTATATCGACTCGAGTACTTTGATATTTTTCTTCCCGCAACTACTAGAGGCGAGGTATACTGGTACTGCCAGTCACACGCCAGAAAGCCAAATTTGACCTTTTCTGGGCCCTTGACGCGGCTGTGACTGCTGTTTTTGGCGTACCTGACAAAGCGTTCCTGAAGCCATGTCTTCACCTCCATCGAATCAGCCTTGACATTCCACAAGCCTGGTGTAGCTTCGTGGTAGATCCTGCCATGACACCGAAACTTGTGAAGAGTTCTCTCAATAGGGCCCTTTGTGGCGTCATTATCTTCCTTAGGCACGCTGGAAGCGTTGTTCCCCGCAGCCCTTGGACGAAGGAAGTAATCGATGAGCCAGACCTGCTCGAGGTTCGGGAAACACCGTGCAAGGAACTGATACAGATGTGTAGGGTATGACTTTCTTGTACCAGACGTGTGAACTTGTCGACAAAATGCGCATCGAACCGGTAACTCATCATACTGCCATTGATGACAAAACCGCACGGCGACGCGGCGGATCTTCTGAAGTTCTGGGTAGAATGGGTCGACTGCCAGCGCGCAACCCGTCTGATAAATCCCTATAGGGAAATATTCAATGTAGACCACATCCTGGGAGCCCTGCAAGGAAAGAAGACCACCGCCCTCATACGATAGAGTGCCAGGCCTGGAAACGAGGCTGGAAACGAATGCCGCCGACTCTTTGCATACAGCGGATATCTTTGCTAGCTCCTCTCGTAGTGTCTTGTAATTTGAGATGTCTGCTTTGTGGTTTGACTCGAGTGGAGTCAATCTTGCATCTGCAATTCGTTTCAGACTGCCCTCACGTCTTTCTCTCCGAGCACGTTGCTTGACGAGTGCTTGATAATGCCATCCCTCTACAGTCGATTCCAACCTTTGGGATGGCCTTGATACCCAGGTTAACTTGGAGTCCTCGTCCCCGAACTTGACAAAATGGATGCCCGGCTCGGAAATGACGCTGTGCCATATTTCTTGCCGAAGCTCTGCTGGTAGCGATGGAAACAGGGCAAAAGTCCGAAGAATATCGGGAATACTGAATCGAAAGTCATTCGTCATCTCGGTATTGATAGGAGACAGCCTCTTTCTCAACTGTCGCTCGCTTTCCGTTCTACTAGCCCATCCTAGCTCTGGCTAGGATGGCTTCTGGCTTGAGGCGATCGATCAAGCAAGGAATGGTGCTGCCCGGTGACGATGCATTTGGATGGAACAAAGGGTGGATAATGGACCGGCAAATGAAGACTTGAGCGGTTGTCCGTTTTGTTTGTGGCACAAATAAAGACACGAGAACAGGCCGGCACGCGGGGAAGACGGAACAGCGTGAATGGCGAGGCACCAGGACCAGGAAAGCTGCAGAGTCTAGTGTCGGGGCAGTGCCTAGGCGCGGCAAAAATCCTCTCTGTGCTCGTGAAGATGGCTGTCTATTTGCTTTTTTGTTTTGTGCGCCCGGCGGTGGAGGAAGAAGGAGAGCAGGTTTCTGAGATGTCGGACGCAGGTTAGTCAGTCAGTGTCACACGCACGCCTGAAGTAACTGTGCCTGCAGGAACGGAACAGCCAATTGTGTGTGCTACAGGCAATCATGGCACTGGCCTCAGCACTCAAACAATGTTGTGGAAGGCACTGTCTCAATTAAAACTCCCCTCTTTCAGCCTGCAATGTCCCGAACTCTAGCGCTTTGTCGGGAGTGTGCATTCATTCACCCCGTCGCACTTAATAACTATGCCACCACGCAGGCACCCATTGTGCCACAAACGAAAATTTGCATGTTTGCTCGAAGAATGGACCCTTGGAAAAGGTCTGCCGCTCGCTTTCCCCTCAGTATATAGAAGCCCAAATATCGCATATCTAGGTAAGGTATTTTGGCTTCTGCACCATTCGCCTCCACACATCTGAGAGTCCTTGGCCATTATCTAGAGCCAAGAGACAAGAAAAGTATCAGGTCTACTGTAGCCTCTTGTACAAAGCCGTTGCGAATTTCTACTGGCGGCTATGCCTCTGACTCGAGATTCGGCCGAAGAAGAGAAGGCGAAGGTTAAATCAATCATCAATATTATCCAAATCGGTCTTTTCGCGATTTGGCTTTTCTGGTTTATTTGGGAACTGCGCAAAGAGCGAACAGACAGGAAGGACACTGCGTCGAGCAATTCCGGGTCTGCGCAAAGGGAAACGCAACCAAGAGACCATCTCGCGTAGAATTCGCTGTCGTTGTGGGTTTTGGCACCCTAACTCTCTGTTTCGGCTATCTGTACTGACATTGCTTGGCTTAGGAACCTAGAAGTCAAGGCCACTGGAATCCCGAGTTATTCTGGCACGGTTCGCCTCCACTCATCTGAGAGTCCTTGACCATTCTCGAGAGCCAAGAAACCAGAGAAGCAACGGGTATGTCTCCTATCCCAAGCTCTCGCAGATTTCTAGAGGCTACCACGCTGCTGACCCGAGCCTTGAGTGACAGTGACAAATTCGGCATCACGATTGTGCTCCCTATGGTTGGGGCTATAATTCTTCTGACTATATTCGGTTGCTGGCATTGTCACGGCCTGGAGTCGAAGAACCCAAAGTATCCTGTACCGAGCCATCGGGGTCATTGCATGCCTGCAGAAGGGGATACGCAACCAAGCGACCACCCGAACCAGTTTTCCCGCGACCACCTCCGCACTGTCACTCTAGGTGACCAAGATAACTGCTCAAGGTCCATACGAGGTAGGAACATATGCCTTGGTCATCGCCATTCTTTCTGCCGTTGCTTTCACTATTCTTGTCGTTGCGGCTAACACCTTTATCAAGAAGTCTTCCACCCAGCACCCACGCTATCTCCAAGTTTTCGACACAGACATATTCCAGCAGAAACGCGGGCAACCGACCGACCCTCTCACCATGCCTCCCGTTTCCATGGATCTCAGACCACTGCGGCCCGTCAGGCTACTAGCACCAAGTGTCGACCTTTCCGCGCCTCTCTTTGGTACCTTGCTCCCTTTTGGCCTTTTTTATCCGGCTACCGTACTCTGCCTTAGTTTCATTGTCTACAACTTTTGTCAATTTTGGAAGCCTGAAAGATCGCGTGAACAAAAAAGGACCGGGGAGGAGTGACAGAGTCTGAAGACAAATCAAAGTCTGAAGGCAAATGAACCACTCCAAGGATTTTTCTTTTCTCTTCTGAAATCTCTTTTGGGCTCACTTATGCGAGACTTAACGGCTTTTCTTTTTCCTATTATTTCCTTTGAGATTTTATGCTGTTGATAAAAAAAAATGCAGAATTCCCTTTCGAATGCAAAATCATGTCCCAAGTATCAGTGAATCCAAGTTATGTTCCGTATATTCCGTAGCCTGGAGGAGAACTCCAAGACGCCAAATATGAAAAGATCATGCTTTTACAGCCTCCCTTGTGTAATAGAGGCTGACAAAGTCAGATCATCCCAGTCTCCCGATCCTGAAAATCAAAGCTCCTAACAATGCCAAAACGCCCCATCCACTTTAACCACAAAAAACAAAACCAAAAAGTTCAGGTATAATGCTCAAAATAAAGTAAAAAAATCTAGTCTACTGTCAGAGATAGTTCTATCACATCGACCGGGATCCCCATTCCTGGAGCACGGTTGGTTCCTGTACAGCCCCCGCCTTGCCACTCAGATAGGCGCGGCAGGCTTCCAAGTGCGCATACTCCTTGGCGTCATCCTCCCGAGCGCTCTTCATCTTCACGTCAGCAACCATGAGAACGCTCCTCCCCGCAGCATCCCGGGCGTGCACGTTGGCTCCGTGCTCGATCAAGGCCCTTGCAGCAAGCTTCCGTCCACATCGCACAGCGATATGCAGCGCGGTCTCTCCACCCCTGTTTCGGGCATTGACGTCGGCGCCTTTTTTCAAGAGCAGATCTAGTATCATAGGCCCGGTTTTGTAATCATCGTCTTCAGGCAATTCGGCAGTGAATGCCATAAGTGGCGTGTTCCCATTGCTGTCGTAATGGTTCGGATCGACACCGCTGCTCAGCAGCTCATCCACTAGTCTATGTCGGAGATTGAGTCGGTCAATCGACGAGTCAATAATCCCATGTACTGTTTGGACCCTTCTCCTTAGACGTGGCGGGGAATTTCGGTTGCTCTGCTCAGCTTTGTTGACGGCGGTGGCCTTGCTAAGCGATGCCATCGCAAGACAATGGAGCCCATTTCGGCCTTCCGAGTCTTCCTTCTTTGGGTCGTCCAAAGCCTTCCGAGCCAATTCTAAAAGACGGGCTTCCTTGTAGTAAGGCTCGGCACCAAGGGATATCTCTTTCTCGGAATCAGACGACTCTGGGCTCGAGCGATGGGAAGTTGCATCGTGCGAAGGGTCATAAGGAATGGGTTCCTGGCCGACGAGCATAAGGTTGAATGCGTCTCTCGGGGCATGGAACACTCCGCCATACCGCTGCAAAAGAAACTGCAACGCATTTCTCGAAAGGTCCATAGATAACAGCAGGTGAAAAATGGTCCGGCCATAGTCATCGCGAGCACCAATATTGAACCTCTGACCATCAGGAAATACTTTGCTAAGAAGGAAATCTAGCAGTCGGCAGGTCGCGTCCAGATCCCCCAGCAGCGATGGAGGGAGCACATGCGCAAAGGTCTGCCCAGCGCTATTCTTGGCGTTGGCCACAGCCGACACAGGCTGAGCATTGAGAGCATTAAGCAAAGGATCGAGAAATCCTCTCGCAGCGAGAAAGTGCAAGGCAGTGTTTCCATAAGCGTCCCGGTACCCTACCTGGGAAGGCGGTAACCCAGCAGTCAGCAACTGATGTGCGAACGGGGTGGGACCTTGAGGAATGACCCAAGACCGCTCTGAAATCTCCGCGACAATGTGACATAGGCACCATCGGTAGTTGTGCTCTTGGGATTGCGGGAAGCAATGCCCCTGCTGTTGGAGTTGCACATCGAGAGTGAGGAAATCCCCCGGAAGTGGAAATGGCCGACCGGGTTGACAAGATGGTGCATCAACGTCGTTATACCACACAGTTGACTCAGGTACCATTCGCTCCAACATCGATGTCCCAAGAGGTGCAGTGTATCTTTTGACAAGCTTTCGGACGGAGTCGACATAAGATTCAGAGTAGTCAGGAAGCAGTCGGTTGAACGAGCCTGTAGTTTGATTAGTAGATGTCGACATCATCGATCCCTGCCTCTCTAGGTACATGGCTGGATGAAGATTCGTCCCTGGGCTAGCTGAGGATCGGCGGCGTGAGCTACCCGCATACTGCTCACCCGCTCCAGGAACAGATAAATTTGCCGAGGGAGAACCCAGCACCAGGTTTGGTGTGCTACTGTGGCTCCAGGAATATTCAGGCATGTTCTCAAGAGTTGCAGAGTGAACCTCCCTTTCGGACTTGATGGGCGCGGGTGAAGAGTTGGTCGAATACGGAGGAGGGTCTGAACGAGAGCTTGGGCGGGTCATGATCGAGCTAATCTGAGGGTTTGATCTGGTTGGTGACTGGACTAGTTGAGTGTATCGTCTGGACATGTCGCTCTCGTCAGCTGGCTTAAGCCATCGATATTCCTTGTCAAGAAGCTCCTTGAGCTTCTTCTGAGCCGAGTCTTTGCTTTACACTCCAAGTTAGTCTTTCGTCCAAGTCTGGGTCGTGGGTGTGACGTACCCTGGGGAGTTTTCCACGTTCTGGGTATGATAAACGACAGCCAGTATTTCGTTGATCTTGAGTGTGGTGTACAGGTAGAGTCGGCACATCTTTCGCTGACTAGAGAGTGTCCATAACGCCGGCCGTCCTGACACCAGGTGAGAACCCGATGGCGGGGAGCAAGATGATTTTGGAATCTCCAGCCGCGACAGCGAAGCCTGATTCATCATGGCTTTTGCTTGTCGAAGCCGACCTCACAGAGCCAGCCAGGACGAAAGAAATGTGACGGGTCGTTGTTAAAGTGCAAAAAGAAGAACGGCAACAATCCTGGTATGCCAAATCGCGGGGAGTACTAGCCACACCGGCCCATAGTGGGCGATGATGGCGCTTAAAAGAATGGGCAGAGGCACGGGACGACCGCAAGGCTGATAATAGTATGCCCATGTACGGCAATCGAATTTGGGGGCCCTTTCTTACACCAGATCCCTGCGTACAACCGGAGATTTCGAGTCTTCACTAAGGGTCCGGACAAGCCAAGCAGGCCCTGCAAGCCCTGCCACGGTCACGGCCCAGCTGAACAGCTCCCTGGATTGTCTATTTCATATCCTGATCGCGGGGGATCCGACACGAGTAGTCGGTTTAGCTCTTCGGACTGCGCCCCTGGTCCGTCAGCCAGGCCCTATTCACGATCGCGGCTATGGGATGGGCCAAGGGTGGTGGTATTTCCTTTCCTGACGAACCCAAGACCCGGCCCCAGTCTTCAGTGGCGGGGAGCTACTGCGCCGGCTCCTGCATTGAACAACCAGACTCCTGGACTCCACTGACTGATCATCGAGTGGGAGGTGCGGATCGCATCCTGATTGCCGCAATGAGCCGCCATCTAGGTAGCCAGCCTGGTCAGCCTGGCCACTCGAGCTGCGGGCTTTGTAGCTCTCCAGGCGGTTTTGCCAGAAAGATTGGCCCTCGCTGTCCTAGAGAGCGACCAAGCCACCTGTGTGTTTCAAGTGCGACGAACGGGCCCCATGGGAGATTTCCGAGCTGCAGGCCTGGGAAACGAGGGTCACCGTGTCCAAAGCGCTGCCATGGTGCCACGGCATGAAAAAAGATGGAGGGGGCAACACCACATCTGTGGTATTTGACAGCGAGCCGTCTCGATCCGCAGCGCTAGCTAGAAGCATTGGCCCATCTACTCAGCGGGTGGAACCGATCCCGGGTGAGAAAATGTAGAAACTAGAGGGGATCAGGGGGTTTCGTGCATTTCCGACGGTAAGGCAGCAGCACAGCCCGACGAGGCGCCCAAAGCAGATAAAGAAGGCTTTCCAAGCTCGTGGTGTGGCTCACTGGTCAGCCTACGCCACAGCCTACGCCACACCATCTTTTGATGAATCTGGTATATGATTGGTCCCAGCCACAACTAATAATATCTTACTTGTGGCGTCATCTCCCTCCTAGCGTGGCGTCGCCGCCGCATGTACCCAAACGCTGGCAAAGTCCGTCCGCTGCTCGAACTCAAGCCACGAGACAGGGGCTGGAGACATCGGTTTTACCACAAATGCTTCCATCTCTCTCCGCCATAAACACAGGCAGGCCATTCAGCTAGGTAGGTGGTATGAGCAAGGAAGTTTGATAAAATCCTATATTACTAATATTGTGTCCTCCACAAGACCGTCATATATGCTCTATTCCAGCCTTGAAGCATGACGAAACCCAACAGCCAACATACTTCGCTTTCCCCACTCCCACAGACCGTTGGATTCCATCAGCAAGAGAGACACCGATGTCTGAAGAATAAAATGCTATCATAAATCATGTCTTGAAAATGGTATGCCAGGGGCAAAAATCGACTAAAAATTATGTAAAGGATCGTTGTATGACGTTGCAGTCATGCATGTTCATGCGTCAGGCCGTTCCTGACGTCGTTGGTTTGTTTCTTTCCGTTTCTCGTCCATTGCTCTCTTGTCTCTCTTTTTTCTCGTCTTTTTTTCTTTTTTCTTTCTTTATTGTGAAGTGCTTTCCGTAGCGTTAATCTTACTCGTCGTAGCCCTCACAACCTCTTACATGAGAGCCACCAGACCAGCAGCAATGAAGGCAATCTGGACCGCGGCGCTAACTTGACCAGCCCCAGCCGGTACGGGTGCAGGCTGTGTTGTGTGAGCCGGCGGCTGCGTTGTCTGGGCCGGCTGCGAGGGCTGTGTTGGCTGTGCCGAGCTTGAAGGAGCTGGTGCCTCGTGCTTCTCTGACTTGGTGACTGGAATCGTCACAAAGGTTGAGCTCCCGATAACAGGCGGGGCAGAGGATGGAACAGGAGGCTTGTGGGAGCTCTCCACAACGGTGGTCGCAGGCTGGCTAGTGACAGGGCACACTGTCGTGGTTACAGGAATTGTGGTAGTGATGGTAGTGGTGGTGCCAGGGCAGTTTGGTACCTCTGGAGGGCAGGTGGTGACGGTGATACAAGTCGTTGTATAGATAGTTGAGGTTGTCCACTCTGTGGTAGTAGGAGGAGGAGGTGGGTGAGATGGCTTGGTATGTGTGGGCTTGGTGTGCGAGGGCTTGGTCTCTGTGGGTTGAGTCTCTGTAGGCTTGGTCTCTGTGGGTTGGGTCTCCGTAGGCTTGGTCTCCGTTGGTTTGGTGTGAGTAGGTTTGGTGTGGGTGGGTTTGGTGTGAGAGGGAGTAGTAGTCTCCGTTGGTTGAGTCTCCGTACATGTAGTCTCAGTCTCCGTTGGCTTGGTGTGTGTAGGCTTGGTATGTGTAGGCTTGGTATGAGTTGGTTTGGTGTGAGAATGAGAAGGAGTGGTTTCAGTCTCTGTACACGTAGTCGAAGTCTCCGTTGGCTTGGTGTGTGTAGGCTTTGTGTGGGTTGGCTTAGTGTGTGTGGGTTTGGTGGGTGAGGGAGTAGTAGTCTCTGTAGGCTTGGTATGTGTAGGCTTGGTATGGGTTGGCTTGGTGTGAGTGTGAGAAGGAGTGGTTTCAGTCTCTGTACATGTGGTCGAAGTCTCCGTTGGCTTGGTGTGTGTAGGCTTGGTATGTGTTGGCTTAGTGTGAGTTGGCTTTGTATAGGTGGGAGTAGTCTCAGTCTCTGTGCATGTAGTCGAAGTCTCCGTTGGCTTGGTGTGAGTTGGTTTAGTGTGTGTCGGCTTGGTGTAGGTGGGAGTAGTTTCAGTCTCAGTGGGTTTGGTGTGGGTTGGCTTTGTATGGGTTGGTTTGGTGTAGGTGGGAGTGGTCTCCGTCTCCGTACATGAAGTCTCAGTCTCCGTAGGCTTAGTGTGAGTTGGTTTGGTGTGTGTAGGTTTGGTGTGAGTTGGTTTGGTATATGTTGGAGTAGTTGATTCAGTGCTTGGGACGGTCTCAGTAGAAGGGGTAGATGTGGGAGGCTCGCTTGTGTGTGTGGCCGTGTAAGTGATGCAAGAACAAGCAGAGGAAACCCTGGTCACATCGCCCTGGCAATTATTGAAATCCGTGGGGATAGCAGAAGGGGCAGTAGTAGTGCCCGAAAGAAACTCGAAGCAGAACTTTTCACCATTGAAACGTGTGTCAATGAGATTCCTGTAGCAGTTGTCGTGCTCACAGTCCGGATATTCATGGCCAGATGCCAGGCCAATGGCCATAGCGCCAATGAAGATGAGGCCCTTCATTGTCAACGAGGGCTGGCTGAAACACCCCAGATTTTAGGGCTAGCGAACGGATCAAAGTGACAGCTAGGAACGAACGTGTAAGCGAGAGTCCGGGTAGTGGATAACGACTGTGTATAGAATGCCAGTAGATTTGTACTCAAACGAGACGAGTAAAACGTGAACCGTCTCAGAAGAGCGGGAGGCACCCAGCGACCCGGAGCCATCAGATCTTATACCATGTGCCAACTGGTTCTCTCCATGCTCGAAATCTAATACGAGGTTGCTACCAATAAGACTGGCATCCCAATCGAACGGAGGATCGATCGATGATTGGCGGCCAGTCCAGCCAAGAGCTCAAGCGGCCATGCCTTTGCCGAGCCAAGATGTAGTAGTAGACAACCCCTGCCCTGCCTCGCTCTGCCCAACCCTACCTCATCCAGCGCCCCCCAGGCCATGTCCTTTTGTGCTATCATCGTCACGATCAAAGTGCCGGTCCATCAATTGGGCTGGTGCTGTTAGTTGATCCCCATCACAGATCAATGAGAGACACCCCTCCCTGGCACGACCACCACACAGACCCATTGGCTCGTGGCAACTTGCACCCTCTTCGCTTATACAGCCGTCGTACGAGACACAGAGAGGGCTGATACCGGGACTGAATATCGTCAACCCTGTTCCACATGCCCTATTATTTGGGCATGAAGTAACGATCTCAAAAGCTTCTTGATTCAAACTTTAGTCGAGTATGGTAGCACGAGTCGTCGATACAATTGAGATCTTCCTATCTCCCATTGCCAAGATTGAGCCGTTGGTGGTCTTCACAAAGACCATAGGCGAGGCCTGCAGTCAGCTCAAATCCTTGATTTGAACTACGTTCCCTCGCATTCTGGAACGCTGGCGCTGCCTGATAGGTAGCCGGCTACCCTTGCCCCTTTGCAGTTCTTCTTCCGTCATGCAAGAGCTTCGTGTGGGTGTCTCCCTCCCAGGCGACCCTTTCCGTAGGGCCGCTTACTTTTGCCTTGCAGGAGAGCACACCTACATCAGGGCAATATGGGCGTCGAAGGGGGTGGAATATGCAGGGGAGTGAACGTGCAAGAAAAAAAATCTCCCCAGGCACTGTTTAATGGAGTGACGAGTTGATAAGACATGCAGAAGCTTTGGACCTTTGGGGTGGTAGTGGTACGTTACAGTGCAGCCACTTATTTACCAGCCCTGGCCTTTTCGCTCATGCCCCTCTTCTCCATCACGTTTCTCCGGAAACCTGCCCACAGCAGCTAATGAGGAGAAGGTTGGAGAATGATCGTGATCAGTGGTTGAAGCCACCCTCGCTTCGTTTACTTCCCAGCCAAGAAAACCTACATCTCTACCCAACCCCCTACCTATGAAAATCGTTACTCTCGGCTGTCTTGCTGCCTTTTCGTGAGGATTTGGATAAGGTAGTATTTCTCCACTCTGGATTAATGAGAAAGGCGGATGTATCGGTGTTGAATTGAGAACTTTCTCCTGCTACCCCTGTCCTTGGAAGTGGGGGAAACCGAACGAAAACAAAGAACTGTTGGTAACGGTCCCAGTGGCAGGCAGGGATTCCCAGGCCACAGACAGGACAGAGGCTTCGCTGTATTATGCTTAAGGCTAGGCTCAACGCCTTTCTCAGTGCTAGAGAGCGAGTACGTTGAAGGGCCCAATGCAGGAAACAGAGCGATCAAACTCAAAACGTGCCCCTCCAAACAGGATGCGGAGGGGAACTCAACGTGCACTAGGCAGGGGAGCTCCCCTCAGTCAGCTCGCTTCATAGTGCCGTTGCATCGCATTCAGCGTATTCCTGATCTGCCTGCGAAAAGGCTGGCAGGAGTCATGAAAGGGCTGGGCCGATAGAAGCCAGCCAAGGCAATCACCGCAACCCATGTCGTCAAGCTACATACACACATGCGTTGGCAAGCTAGAACCTGCAGAAGGCATGACCTCTGCATGCTTGAATACGAGGCAGACCGGAAGCTGAGATCGGGTGCAGGGTCCCCAATCCGGTGACTAAGGATGCAGGAAACATGCGCCCAGCCCAACTGGACCTGATTTACCCTTCATCATCGACTTGAACAATACGGGATATCCACACCCTCTTGTCTTTCAACCTTCGACTCTGCTTGGTCTCTGCCCACCGGGGCAGTCAATCCGGGACGCTGGAGCCGATTGTCGAACCGAACCAATCGAATCGAGAAGAAAAGAATTTGCTTTTTCCCGTCGCTCTCCAAGTCTTCATAGCTCACCTCCTTCTAGAGTTTTACGCAAGGGCGTAATTCGGAGGGCATCGATCGAGACCAGGCCGCACCCTGCCACGACATGCAGAGCGCCATCGCCAAGCCAACAAGATGATGCTCACGAGTTGTATCCTTGGCAGGAAACATGTGCATACATGAGTTGGGCATGATGCATGGGTCCAGTTGCTTAATGGGGTCCTCGCGATGCGCGGAGAGCCGCACTTCGCTAAGATGACCGTAATACATGATGACTTCATGGGTGCAACCGGCCGACGGCCCTGATTTCTCCTTGATGCCATTGGGCAACCGAATTTGCCGCATGGTCGTCCACAGGTGACGGGATGCAGTGTGTAAGACCACACAGGTCCTTCTACCCGCCATTCACTATCCGTCGTCATGCCATACATCACTCAGCTGCTACCCTGAAGTCTGGTGGTACTTTGCCATCCAAGGCAGCGATGCCTGGCCAGACGCAATATGCACACCACGCCGGTGACGAGGCAAGAACCTACATGCTGACCACTCTTTAGAACTGAGCACCTTGAGCCCTTTTGCGAAGTCGGTTCGTGAGTGGGACGTTGGCTGAGGAGGAGTCGCGCGCTGTCCAACCAGCTCAACATCTCGTATTCCATGACACCCTCAATAGCCATTGCCGTGAGTGACTATTTTCCTCGCTTATTTGTTTTCGCGAGCACCGGTCAGCGGGAAGATGGCCTGTCCTCGTCCAGTGGATAATCTGGCTTAAACCGGCCGTTTCTTTGGGGATTCCGAAGAACTAGCCCACCGCGCGCGCGTGAGCCTCCCCGGCGCTCGAGCAACGGTCACCCAACCCAGTATCACCATTGATGGGCTAGCACAGGTCCAAACAGCTGGGACGTCCTCGCAAGTCCATATTTGGAAATCCGGGGAAGATAAGTATATTTTGAAACACACTTCTGACGCTAGAGCTCCGGTGAAGCTATTTGGGCGGCGATGTGAGCGGTACAGCCGGTGACCGGTGACCGATAATGTGCTCAGTTTTCAAGCCTGCCTCATCCGTCTAGATGACGGAGAAATACGTGACCTTGGAGTTGCGGGTTTGGCCGGCCACTCTGATGGCTGTTGGCAGGGTATGCTGCACAGTTAACCTGGAGCGAACGGCGATAACCCCAAACATGGTTCGGGATCGTTCAGTAGCTGAGCTCCCGTCGCATGATCAGCCTAAAAACTTGCTCATATCCGAGCGTCTTCAGCTCTGGGGCGAAATGGCAGGTAGTAATTGTTGTCTGCTTCTTCTGAGTGAGATTCGAGTGATGGATTGTTGGCTTAGGAACAGGGTATGGTTCCAGGTTTATGGTCCCGCTGCGATGGAGCGCCGGCAAGGTCAATTTTCTCCGATCCAGGCAATGCCAAACGTGGCAATCCGTGTGCGCTTAATCCTGTTGAACATGGGACACACGCGACACCTGCTGTGCGTGCGTTCAACCTCATCGGTCAAGCAGGATGTCGGCCGGTATCAAAGCTCCTATATGATCCTGATCCTGGGACGTGTCAGATTGAGATCAGCACCTGCCATTTCAAGGCTCGGGATTGTAGCCAAAGTCTGGTTGATAGTGGAAATCCACGGCTGGAGAGCTCGGGCACGATTGAACCCGTGGGATTGATGTTCGGATGGTGAAGTCTCAGGGGATCCCGCGCGGAGAAAGTTATCCTAGCTCTAGGACGGCGTTTATTTTTGACCCATCATTAGCGTCCGATTGGCGGTTTGTGTCAGGTTGCGGTAACTGGCAGATTCAACAAGGGCCTCAAATTGGCGATAACGTGCCACTACCTAGGTAAGTTAGATGGCCAATTGTTGATCTATGGACACAAGTAAGTGCTAGGTAGAACTATAATAACTTAATTGCCTGTCTCAACCTCCTGCCCACAAGCAATTGCCCGACCTGGTGATATCTCGCGCTAGGCTTGCAACTCATTCATTCCGACTCCACAACGGCCAGTTTCCGCCCTTGTCTCGGTCGCGATGATGATCATTGCAGGGCTGCCGCCAAGCCTTTGGGGGCTCAATTTTCGGGTGCATCACCACCACCGGTGCAATGTGCATGTCTAGAAGCGCCCAAGAAGGCTCCCAGCGGGACGGTTCCCCCATCAGTACACGAGCGGCAGAGCAAGAACTATCATTCAATGTCACATCGCGTTCCTCGTAGGGCGGCCCAAGCCTCTGAGGCCTGGGAAAATCACATCCCTCTCATTGGCCTGATGACATGCCCTCCCGCATGGACGTTCAACGTGCCAAATCTAGGTTCCAGTTGGCGATGAGGTGGCCCAGTCACATCTCCCCACGATGGCTTTCCGTCGTCCCTCCTTTCGTTGTTTTTACCCGTTTGAGGAGGAGCTGCTGCTTTGGATCGGGGACTCCGCCAAGGATTCGGACCCGAGCCGCTCTCAGGGTCCCGCCACGAGGGACCGTGATGCTCGGGCCCGATGTGGATTCGACTTGGCTTCATGGCACGCGCCAGAATAGGTGAGCGGTCTGCTAGCCGCTCAAATCTGGCTTTCTGAGATGACCCATACCCATATATTAACCCAATGAACCTGGCTTAGCTACGCGCGGCTATGCAGGCCGTCTGCTGATACCCATTGTCTACCCACCCCCGGTACCGAGTTTAAAGTGATATGCCGGGGGAGATAGTCGGCCGACTTAGGCCATCTGGAGTGGTGTAATCTGTATGATATAAGCATTGTGTGCTGTCCATCAGCATCAGGCAGCACCTTTCTGTGTGATGC